TGGTGCCAGCTTGGAATGGAGATGGAAGGGATTCCTCAGGAGCTGGGGCTTCCATCCACAATGAAGAATTCACGGTGCCTGCAGGGAGGGTGTGAGGAGCAGGCAGCTGGGCCGGGTGTCCTGAGCCCTTTGTGACAGCTGAGCTTGAATTCCTGCCCGTGCTTTCCTGCTGCAGAGGGGAGAGCTCAGCGGGGCTGGCCTGGGTTGTTCTGGCATGGACTGAGCCCAGGAACCCTGGAGCTGGCTGGGCTGGGGTGGCAGAAGTTCCAGCATCCGAGCTCCTCCTCAGGTGGGCAGGTGTCCCCCCTGCTGTGGGGTTGGTGGCTGTGGGCCCTTTCCCTGTGGGCAGCACTACTGTGGGCATCATTCCTGTGGGCAGCACTCCCATGGGCCCTTTCCCTGTGGGCAGCATCCCTGTGGGCAGCACTCCCGTGGGCAGAATTCCCGTGGGCTCTTTCCCTGTGGGCAGCACTGCTGTGGGCAGCATCCCTGTGGGCAGCACTCCCGTAGGCAGTATTCCCATGGGCCCTTTCCCTGTGGGCATCCATCCTGTGGGCCCTTTCTCCGTGGGCAGCACCCCCGTGGGCCTTTTCCCTGTGGGCATCATCCCCATGGGCAGCATTCCTGTGGGCCCTTTCCCTGTGGGCATCATCCCCATGGGCCCTTTCTCCGTGGGCATCATTCCTGTGGGCATCATTCCCATGGGCAGTGCTCCCGTGGGCCCTTTCTCCGTGGGCATCATTCCTGTGGGCCCTTTCCCTGTGGGCATCACCCCCATGGGCCCTTTCTCCGTGGGCATCATCCCCATGGGCATCATCCCCATGGGCAGTGCTCTCGTGGGCCCTTTCTCCGTGGGCATAATTCCCATGGGCAGTGCTCTCGTAGGCAGTGCTCCCGTGGGCCCTTTCTCCGTGGGCATCATTCCCGTGGGCATCATTCCCATGGGCAGTGCTCCCGTGGGCCCTTTCTCCGTGGGCAGCACTGCCGTGGGCAGCCAGCCCTCCCCTGCCCTTCCCAGGGAGATCCCAGCTCCCGGGGGAATTGCAGACGCTGCCATTTCTCTCCTTGGCAGATGAAAACCCAGCGCTGGGGTCAGAGAAGTTTTAGGGCTTGGCACCTCGCCGTGCTTGATGGCAGGAGGGGAAGAGAGAGCCGTGAGCTGGGGAGAGTCCTGGTGTGTCCCTGCGCTGGGAAAGGGCTGGGGCAGCCCCGAGATGGAGCTGGGAGGGCTGAGCCCAGCCCCAGGAGCACCTCCTGCTTCTCTCTGCAGGGCTGTGGGGGCCTGTGGTCCCTGTGTGGAGCTGTTCCAGAACCTTCCAGGAGGTGAGTGTCCATCCTGGGCCTGTGGTCCCTGTGTGGAGCCGTTCCAGAACCTTCCAGGAGGTGAGTATCTATCCTGGGCCTGTGGTCCCTGTGTGGAGCCGTTCCAGAACCTTCCAGGAGGTGAGTGTCCATCCTGGGCTTCAGGAGCCTGTGATCCCTGTGTGGAGCTGTTCCAGAACCTTCCAGGAGGTGAGTGTCCATCCTGGGCTGTGGGAACTGTCCTGTTTGCAGCTCTCCCAGTGTGGGACACGGGCTCAGGGCTTGTTCCAGAGGTGGGAGCAGCTCCTGGGCTCTGGAAGGTCCCCTCAGCCCAGTCCCCCTCGGTGATGGGCTCGGGGCTGTTCTGGGCTGCTCCAGCAGAGCTCAGGGCCCGCGCCCCACTGCCAGCACGGCCACTCCTGGAGGCACCTGGGGACAGAGGACAGGCCTTGGGCTCAGCTGGAATCAGGACCAAACTGCTCCAGCAGCACCTCAGCACACCTGGACTGAGCAGGCACCGCCTGCTCCAGAGCTGCACAGGAGCTCTGGCACTGCCAGCCCCAGTGCCAGCCCCAGTCCCATTGCTATTCCCATTCCCATTTCAATTTCCAATCCCATTCCCTGTCCCAGTCCCATTCCCAGTCCCATTCCCACCACCCTCCTGCTCTGCTGCTGCCATCCAGCACCACCTGAAGCACCCAAGGCATGAAGCAGCCAGAGAGGAGCCCTTGATTTCCAGAGGGGAAGCCTCAGGCTGGCCCAGGACAGGCTGGGAGCTCTTGCACAGCAAAGCAAGATTGAGATAAACCTAAAGGAGCTCCCTCCAGCAGCATCCCAGTGCCATCAGGAGTTTCCTGGTCCCTGCAGGGTGTCCAGGCAGCTTTGTTTTGGCCCAGAGCAGAGAGAACACTCAACTTCTCAACCCCAAAGCTGCCACTTTGTCACTGAAAAAGGCAGACCCTTGGTTTAAAAGGTTATCATTTTCTCCACACTTTTTACTTTTTCTGTCTTCACATCAGAAGGTTGATTTCCAAATTACCCTTTGCAAACCACAGACTGAAATGGATTTTCCTCCCCAAAATCTTGAAGCATGTTTCCTTAGGCACCTGCCAGAAAAAACACAAATCTAAAGGCTTAAGTGTCGTGCATTTAAATTATGGTTTTTGACAAAGGCGAAGCAGAGGTTTAGCAGCTTCACAAAAAGAAGAAAATTATTGATTAGGCAGAAAATTCTTTGCCATTTCCCAGGTTTATCTTTCCTGAAGAGAACAGGCTGCCTGAGGACACAGCAGTGCTTCCAGCAGCCCAGTGAACGCCTGTGCCCTGGCAGGGATGCTCCCAGGCAGCAGCAAGGTGGAAAAGCCAGGCTGGAGCCCTGCTGGGAGTGACAGCAGCCCCGGGAGCTCTGCTGGGCAGCACAGCACCCACCCAGCACCGACTGCATGCTGTCAGAAATATCTGGCAGGACAGCTGTTCCCAAAACACAACATGTCTGTGCTGCCTGGAAAAGGGACTCTGAGCAAGCCTTCAGCAGCACCAGCCTGATCCTCAGTGCTGCTTGGAATCCCTCAGGAAAGGGGATTTTTAATTTGTTTTTCCCTAAAGAGACAGTGTTTCCTTTGGGGGGCTGAGAAGGACAGCATGTCCTGATGAGGGGCCACTCACACCCCCCGGGTGAAAGCATTCCACCCAAACCCTGGGCTGCACCAACAGGGTGAGGCTGCTCCTGCATCCCAGAGCTGCCCCACACCTGAGCCTGGTGGTGTTAGAGCAAGAGCAGAGCCCCAGAGGCAGAAAAGCAGCGAGAGCAGAGCCACAGAGGCAGAAAAGCAGCAATTCTGGAGAGCAGAACAAAGCCCAGCACTCACCAGACAGATCCAGCAGTGCAGCTGCCAGCAGGACAAAGAGGGGGAATTTTTCCTGCATCTCCTGAGCCATCCCAGTAAAGAATATCCCAGCTGGCAGCAGCTCCCTGGGGAGCCACGGCTGCCTCCCAGCACTGGGCATGGGCTGCTCTGCAGGGCACCAGAGGGTTGGGTCACTTTATAAGAGCTTAGGCCAGACACCAACCAATAACCTGGTCCAGGGAAAAAAAAACCAAAAACCCTGCACCAATTGGAATCAATCGTTTTTTAACAAAAGAACAGAGGTGGGCAGGTGGGTTGTGCATCCAAAAGGTGGAAAATGTGACTGTGAGCACCAGAGGGTGCTTGAGCAGCCCTGGGGAAGAGCTGAAACCCTCCCTGGAGGGCTGGGGGAGGATGTGGAGGGGCTTGGATGCACTCAGAGGAGGGGGACCGAGCTGGGAGCGCCTCCTGCCAGGCTCAGGGCTCTGGGGTTGCCCCCTTTGGGGAAAAGCAGCTCAGGGGAGACCTCCTGGCTCTCTGCAGCTCCCCAGGAGGACGGGGAAGGGAGGTGATGAGTACAAACTGATTATTAGGAGGCATTTTTTAGCCAAGGAGGGGGTGAAACACTGCAAGGGCTCCCTGGAGAGGGGATTTTGTTCAATGCCCTGAACACACTTTGACTTCTGCTCAGCCCTGGAGTGCTCAGGCAGCTGCACTGGGTGATGGTGTAGGTCCTTTTTAACTGAACTGTTCTATAATTCTGACTTTTTTGCCAGTTTGTGGCAATAAAAACACCCCCAGGGATCAGCCTGGATCCCAGGGAGGAACAGAAACCACAGTGAAACCAGCACAGAACTCAAACCTTTCTGACAGCCCAGAGACTTCTTGGGCACAACCACAGCAACACCCTTTTTTTTTTTAGCCATAAAGCCCCCAAATAAATGTAAACATTCCCTGCAGGCAGCAAGCAGGGATCTCTCAGTGCCAGGCACACAAACCTGCAGCCAGGCTGAGAGAGGATGCTGACACAGCCCTGCCTGTGTGAGGGCACTGAACACCTGAGCAGAGGCAGATAAGGGCCCTAATGACAGCTGGGAACAACAATATTCTCCATTATTCAACAATATTCTCCATTATTCAACAATATTCCCCATTATTCAGCACTATTCTCCCCATTCTCCAGGCTGAGGAGGGATCCAGCAGGAGCTCACTGAGCCCAGTGCCAGCCCAGCCCTGCTCTCACCTCCCTGGCAGGACCAAGGGCAGGGCCCTGCAGCTTTTTCCCCTCCCTGGAAGGAAAAATTCCTGCCACCTGCAGAGCACCTGAAGCCTCCAGGTGGGTTTGTTACCTGTGTGGGCAGGCTGCAACCCCAAGCCCCCCGGATAATTAAACTGAGGCGATCCACTGCACGTTTTCCCCCTCCTCTGCAGGGGGATTCAGCTGCTCTCTCTCTGGAAAAAGCTGCTGGATAATTTGTCATCCCCTGCTCTGAGGGGACAAAGGCTCCCCACAGAGCTGACACCCCCAGGTGCCAAGGAGGGGAGCTGGAGAGCCATTTTAAACTCAAACTGGGCTGAACTGTGCTTATTCTTCACAGGAATGTAATAAATTCTTCTGTTTCCTGTGGTCAAAACCAACAACAACAAAAAAGCTACGCTGTGTTTATGGCCATCAATTAAATTTATGTCCGTTATTAAAGCAAAGGCAGCCTAATGCAAGGGGGTATTTTGGTTGGTAGCTGAGATAATAAATCAACTCCTTCCTCCTGATTCTGTTTCACTGGCTTCTGTGGGGGACCAAAACCACTCCAAAAAGCCACTGAAAAGTTGAATGAATTTTATTAAAGCGGAGAAAACTCAAGAGCAGTGAGAGGAAGGGCACTTGTGGAGGGGCTCTGAGGAGTTCAGCTGCTGTGCACGTATTTCATGGAGGAGTTCAGGATGGCCAGGCCATTGAGCTTCCTCAGCTGATGGATGTGCCTGGAGAGACAACAGGGGGACAGGTGGTGACTAAAAATTAAAGTTTTAAGCTCTAACTGCTCTGCCCAAGCTTTCAGGGGTGTTTAATGCTGTATTCAATATAAAACAGAGTTTCTAGATAATAATAATAATAATAATAATAATAATAATAATAATATAATACAGAGTTAATGCAGATACTCTTAATAGAGTTTCTAGATAATTATTGCCCTCAGAAAGGCACATAAACAACATTCTACAAATAGGTTAATTTCAGATTAACAAAACTAAGAAAAGAAAGAGTTTCCCTTCTATCTCTGCTGTTTCAGACAAATCTCAGGGCTGATATTTTCTCCACTGCTCATTTGGGATCTACAGACTTTAACATCCCTTCTGTCCTTCCAGCACAGGTCAGTGAAGTCCTTGAGAGATGTGGGGACAGAACTGGCACCCCAGGAGCCCTAAAGCAGGATTTGGGGACAGACCACAACGGGGAATCCTGGCTGGAGGAAGGAAATACAATTAATGGAGTTAAATTAACCTAACAACTCAAGATTTGGCTTACCCTGCTTGGTTTCTCAGGGATTATCACCTAATAACAGAAAAGGGGAATTCAAAAAAGGGAATTTTGGTGCCTACCTTGGCTCAGCCACACAGAGCCTGCCCAGGGCTATGGCTGAGTTCTGCTGCACCGAGCTCCTGAGAGCATCACCCCCAGCCTGCCTGAGCAGCAGCTGCACCACGCTGGAGCCCAGCAGGGACGAGGCAGCCCCGGGCAGCAGCAGGCACTGGCTGAGGCAGAAAGCTGCATTGCCCACCGTCAGCTCATCCCCTGCCTGCAGCAGCCTCAGCAGCACCTGGAACCCTGGCACGAGGGGGAATCTCTGTTAGACACAGCCAGGGCTCTCCAGCTGTTCCCTGCCGGCTGCAGGGAGTGATTCTGGAGCTGTTTCCCTGGAAAATCTGGGGAGCAAAGGGATTTCATGGTAATTTCAGCAGCCTGGAGCTGCCTCAGCTCCTCTTGCCCAGAGTCTCTCTCACAGAGAGCTCACCTGGAACCCTGGCACGAGGGGGAATCTCTGTTAGACACAGCCAGGGCTCTCCAGCTGTTCCCTGCCGGCTGCAGGGAGTGATTCTGGAGCTGTTTCCCTGGAAAAGCTGGAGGAGCAAGGGGATTTCGTGGCAATTTCAGCAGCCTGGAGCTGCCTCAGCTCCTCCTGCCCAGAGTCTCTCTCACAGAGAGCTGAAGGTGCCACGTTAACTGCCTTAAAGCAGAGATGCTGTTGTGGAAAGAACAGCTGGAAAAAGGAACATCAAAAAAGCTTTCTGTGCATCCAGAGCTACCAAAGCTCTCCTAAGGACAGCAGAGTTTGGGCTCTGACACCTGAAAGCAGCAGCAACATCTCAGGCCACAGAGTCCTGAACACTCAGAGATCACTGAACAGGGGCTAGATAAATCCAGAGGGAGGTTCCCTCTGGCAAACAGAGCTGACAAAACAAGAATTAGTGACTTCCCCCAGGTTAAAGCCCAGAGCTTTGGTGGGGAGCTCAGGGTGAAGTGCTGCTGCTGGATCCAGGCAGTGGGAGCTCTGCCTGCAGCTGGCAGGGAGAGAGTCTGGGCTGCACAGAGGGGAGGGGATGCTCTGATGGGAAATCCTTGGGGTGCAGGCTCTGACAGCCTCTGGAAATCTCAGGGTTCTCTGCTGTGCTTCCATCAGCACTGATGGGGCTGGGCACAAAGCAGTGAAAGCAGGGCTGGGCCACAGAGCAGGGACACCCTAAAACTGCTCTGGCACATCCCTCTGCCCCCAGCTCCTGCTGGATTTAATGCCAGGCCACCATCCCCAGGGAGGACACCACCAACAGCCAAATCCTGGAAATCAGGGGTTATATTAATAGGATAATTGTTATTTTAATAGGGAAATCAGGAGTTGTTGTAAGAGGGAAGTCAGGGGTTATATTAATAGGAAATCAGGGGTTATTAATAGGAAATCAGGGGTTATATTCATAGGAAATAAGGGGTTATTAATAGGAAATCAGGGGTTATATTCATAGGAAATCAGGGGTTATTAATAGGAAATCAGGGGTTATTTTAATAGGAAATCAGGGGTTATATTCATAGGAAATCAGGGTTTATTTTAACAGGATAATTGTTATTTTAATAGGGAAGTCAGGCGTTATATTCACAGGAAACCAGGGGTGATATTCATAGGAAACCAGGGGTGATATTCATAGGAAATGACCAGTTTCACTTACTTTTGTCCCCCTTGAGCAGCTCTTCCTGAGCTCTGCTGCTGCTCTTGGTGCAGGTGGCGAGGGTCTTTATGGCATAGCTGGATGTGAGCTGTCCCCCAGCCTGAGGGTTGAACACAGGGAGCAAACACAGCTCAGCCACGCTGCCCAGAGCAGCCTGGGCACCAGGGCACGCTCAGGTAAATGAAAACCTTCACAGGGCATTCATCTCACAGGCTGAGAATTACATAAATCTCGTTTAATTCCTGCCAGTGATGAACACACAACATTCCCTGCGTCTCTGCAGGCCAATCCTTTTCAAATCAACTCCCTTTGGCAAGAGCCCAATGCCACAGATTTTTTTCTAGACTAACCTGATCTGCATAAACACCTGCTGGGTGCAGATATACAGCAAAAATTGAAGAAATGAAATTAAAGAAGAATTAGAATTAAGAATTTTTTTTAAAATGTAAGAAAGAATTAAAGGAAGAAATTAAATGGAAAAAATTAAAGAATTAAATTAAGAACTAAAAAATTGAAGAACAATTAAAGAAAAAAGAAAAAAAATTAAAGAAAACCATTAAGAATTAGAATGAAGGATTTAAAAATAATTTAAAATGAAACCTGGGAGCAGTGTTACAAAGGAGAAGATGCAGACACATCCTCCAGGGAGAGGAGGATAAACCCAAGGGGAGTTAAGATTTGCTCAGGGCAGGCAGAAATGAAGGAAGTTGGATTTACTTTCAAGAATTTGAGCATTTTCTTCACCACTCCTCCTTTCACCACCTCCTCCACGGCTGAGGGGGACGCTGGCAGGACACGGCTCAGCACTCCCGTGGCTCTCTAAACAGGGGGAAAGGAGAGAGAAGCAAAACCCAACTTTTATTGGTCCAGGCAGCTGAATTGGTTTGTTTCTTGCACGGTAAGCCTGAGGTAATTAAAGTGCTGAAAGGAGAAATTGCCAGGAATTAAGGAAATCCCAGAATGACAGAAGCTAACAGAGAACATCTTTAGGATGTGGCTTTTTGGTCATTTCGTGGAAACTGAGCACAGCAGAGCTTCAGCACAGGGGAGAGGGAGCCCAAATGGGGATCCTGGGTGTTCATTCATTAAAAAATAAAATTACAAACTCCTGGTAGAGAGCAGCCCAGCACTGGGAGGGATAAAACAGCTCAGAACAGGTCCTGGGAGCTCAGAGCCCCCATCTGCCCCTGCCTGCTCTCCCTGGAGTCCCACCCCATTCCCAGGAGTCCAACTGGAATTCCCACACGAGAACTGCAGAGGAAAACAGCTGAACACCCAAACTGCCCTGGCTGCTTTGCTTCCCCACTGATTTTTAAAGGGTTCCACGCTGAAATGGTTTGTAAGAGCTTCTGTTAAGCAGATTGCTAGGGAACCTTGAAAACCTCTTGCATCAAACCATATAAAAATGAATATTAAAGTGGTCTGTTCTTGCTTTATTGCTTTTGGGAATGTTTCAGGCTTCAAAGCCTCCTGCACAGGGCAGAAGTTGGCTCTGAAGAGCTCAGAAGAGCCAAATCCAGCTTTTGTTGGTGACTTACTGTGACAATCCTTCCGTCCTGATGGCTGAGCAGAGCCAGGCACCTGCCACTGATGGGCACAGCAAATTCCTGGAAAACACAGGGGAAACTCAGGGGGAAAATGGGGAAAACACAGGGGAAACCCAGGGGGAAAATGGGGAAAACACAGGGGGAAAATGGGGAAAACAGAGGGGGGAAAATGGGGAAAACACAGGGGGAAACTCAGGGGAAAAATGGGGAAAACACAGGGGAAACTCAGGGGGAAAATGGGGAAAACACAGGGGGAAAATTGGGAAAACACAGGGGAAACTCAGGGGAAAAATGGGGAAAACACAGGGGGGAAATTGGGAAAACACAGGGGAAACTCAGGGGAAAAATGGGGAAAACACAGGGGGAAACCCAGGGGGAAAATGGGGAAAACACAGGGGAAAAATGGGGAAACCCAGGGGGAAAATGGGGAAAACACAGGGGAAGCTCAGGGGGAAAATGGGGAAAACTCAGGGAAACGGGGAAAATGGGGAAACTGAGGAGAAACAACATAGAGAATACTCAGGGGAAACAACACAGGGAATACTCAGGGAAAATCAGGAAAAACACAGGGAAAACAACACAGGGAATACTCAAGGAAAATCAGGAAAAACTCAGGGAAAACTCAGGGAAAACTCAGGGAAAACAACACAGGGAAAACAACACAGGGAATACTCAGGGAAAAGACAGGGAAAACTCTGGGAAAACTCAGGGAAAAGTCAGGGGAAGCTCAGGGTTTCAGCTGAGCTGCAGCTGGGGCTGGGAGGGCTGGAGCAGAAATGGACCCAAGGCCAAAGGAATGCCCTGGAGATCAGGGGACAGCTCTGCAGCACCCTGGGGAATTCTGCCTTCCCTGTGGGACCCTGAGCTTTGGATAATTTGGGAAGGTAACCAGGACCTCAGAACAATTGGAGAGTGGGTCCAAACAAAACATTTATACCACCATGAAAAGATGATTTATGCACTTTACACTGGTTTTTCCTCATAGCTGTTTATATACTGCAGGTGGTGGCAGAGGAGAAAATTCTGTAGCTTTTTTCGTTTTTCAGCCAAAAAAAATTATCAACTACCTTTAAAAACAACCTGCAACACTACAATTTTTAATTTTTTTTTAATTCCCAGCTGTTGCTTACCTGGATGGTGCCATTGGATTCAAGCAGCAGGTTCATCATCAGTCCCAGCACTGCAAACACACACTGCTGGTAGGCAGGGCTGGCATCAGGACACCCATCCTGAGACACAGCAGGGCAGGAAAATCAGCTCCAGGGCCAGGACAGCCCTGCCTCAGCCTCCTGGGGCAGCTCCAGGGGAGGAAAAGTTCTGGGAGAAGCAGAGCTGAGGACACTCTGTGACACAAACCCACGTGTTTGGGCCCCAAAGCTGCACCCCCCAAACTTGGCATGTTTGGGATGTCACAAAAATCCCTTCCCAGCCCACGAGCCTTCAGGTTTTGGGGACTGTGCTCACAGCACAGCCTCACCTGGGAGGTGTTAGAATCCTAGAATTTTCAACTTTCTGTGCTGAAGAATTTTAAACTTTCTGTGCTGAAGAATTTGAAACTGGAATTTTAAATTTTCTGTGTTGAGGAATTTTAAACTAGAATTTCAAACTTTCTGTCATGTTTTCTGGAAAAATCCCTTCACCCAGGATTTCTGCTTCTGGGAAGCTGAGAAGCCTCAGAGAAAAGGAAAACAATAATTATCTGATTTGCTTCTCCTGTGTTTTGCTGCTTTGGAATGTGGTTGGAGATTGTTTACCCACAGGTGGTTGTTTCATTGGTTTCATGTGAATTGTTTTGACTTATTGGCCAAGCAGGGTCAAGCAATGTCAGACTCTGGAAAGAGTCACAAGTTTTCATTATTATCTTTTTAGCCTTCTGTCTGTATCCTTTCTGTATTCTTTAGTATAGCTTAGTTTAGTATTCTTTAATATAATATAGATCATAAAATAATAAATCAGCCTTCTGAGAACATGGAGTCAGATCCATCATTCCTTCCTGCCACAGGGCACCCCACAAATACAACACCAAGGTTTGCAGGTTTCCTTTATTTTCACTTTATCTCCTGCTTTATGAGCTCTGGGGAAAGGGGATTTTGTGTCCCTTAATCCCCAAGTGTGAACATTTCCTGCAGTCACTGCCTGGGGGCACAGAGCAGCTGCTGCAGCTGGAATTCCAGCAGGAAGAGCCACAAACAATGTGAGAGTTCTGGAATTATTGTCTTGCTGCTCATTTGGAGAAATGGGAGTATTTTAGTGCCCAGCAGAACCCATCTTCCCCCTTCCTCAGGACAGGTTTCTGCACCAACCCATTTGAAATTTGCTGCTGGATAAAGGATGCCCAGAAAAGGGATTTTTTTATCTCAGCACCCAATGTCATCTCCTCACCCTGATCCCTCAGATTAGAAAGCAAAAATCACCATCCAAGACAGAACAGGGATTGGGTGCTGACAGGGGATTAAAGTCACAGCAAGAAGAGCAAAACTCAAAGCTGAAGGTGAATTACCAGTGGGAATCTGCAACCAAGGCCAGAGTTTATACTGGATATTAAACTAGGAATGTGTAGGACAAAATATTGAAGAAAAAGAACATTTTCCTGACAAAACTCAATCTCTTACACCCATAGAGCAGACACAGGACATGCTACAGAAAAACGAAGTGGAAATACAAAATCAGATCTTCCCTACCAGCAGCTGGGTGAATAAAGGTAAAACACCCGTGGAAAACGTGGCCCGACACTGGCTTTGGAACCTGTTGGGGATAAAAAACCAAAGTTTTAGTCACAAACCACAGCTGAAGGCAAGAGAAGAGCAACAGAAAGACTTCAGTAAGCTCAGAGCAGAGGTGGCCAAGAGCCTGTCCCTGGCTCGTTCCACACAACTCACAGCACAGCTTTAGAGAAATGAATGAGGAATTGAAATAAATTACCTTTCCTCCCCAGTTAAGTCACACAGGATGTTCATGGCAGTATCAGCCCTTGCATCAGTGCACTTGACAAATGCCATCAAAATCTGCAGCCATCTGGTGTTAAAATAATATTAAAAAAAACAACCAAAAATTGGTGTCAGCCTTGGTTTAATCATTAAAGATCAAAATTCTATTTTTTTTGGTTGTTGGTATTTCAAGCCACAGTTAAATCTGCCCTTTTTAAGCACCCTCTGAGATGTGGCTCATTCCTTTCACCTTTCCTCCCCAGGAAAATGGACAATGCCTCCTGATCAGCCATTGTTACCCAAACCAGTAAATGGACATTTCTCAGAGGGAGGAAGCAGCAGGATAAGGAACAAAGGCAATGGCATGGGGTTTCCTTCCCCACTCAGTGAGCCATGGCAACACTAAATAACCCCAAATCCTGATTTTTAAATGAGGAGAGACTCTCAGCTGCAATCCAGGAGATTTTAGAGGCAGCAGGGCGAGCTCTGCCTGAGTGCTACATGGGTTTAGAGGGGACTCCAAATTATTAAATTAATTTAAATCCTGCTTTGTTTCAGACATCAAAACTTCCTGCAGCTCTACCCCACACATCCAACTTGCACTTCTGCCAGCCCAGGCCTGTCCCCACGGGGCAGAAGCCTCAGTGCCACTGTGTCCCCTCAGGAATTCACAGAATGACCAGGGTGGAAGAGACCCTAAAGATCATCGAGTCCAACCCAGCCCCAACCTCTCACTGAACCCTGGCACCCAGTGCCCATCCAGGCTGTGTTAAACACCCCCAGGGATGGTGACTGCACCACCTCCCCGGTCCCTGGGAATTCCCAAAATTCCCAAAATTCCCAGAATCACAGAATGACCAGGTTGGAAGAGACCTTAAAGATCACCGAGTCCAACCCAGCCCCAACAGCCCAATTCAACCCTGCAGGCTTGGTTAAACACACCCAGGGATGGGGACTGCACCACCTCCCCGGGCAGAACATTCCAGAACTTTATCACCTTTCTGTGAAAACTCTTTCCTGCTCTCCAACCTGTATTTCCTTGGTGCAGCTGGAGGCTGTGTGCTCTGGCTCTGTCAGTGCTGCTGCAGACAGAGCCCAGCCCAGCTGAGCACAGGCACCTTTCAGAGCTGTGCAGAGCGATGAAGGCAGCCCTGAGCCTCCTCTTCCCCTGAGCTGGGGCAGCTCTGACCCTGCCAGGACACTTTCCTGGTGCTGCTCACCTGCTCAGGTCCTGCTTGCCCAGCAGCCTCCGGCCCTCCTCGTGCTCAGAGTAGAGAGAGATCAGTGCCAAGGTCTCCCTCTGGATCTGGGCTGTGCCACAGGAGAGCAGCTCTGGCAGCTGGGCCCCCACCTCGGGCTGGGCCAGCAGGAGACGCTGATTTTCTTCTGGAAGGAGAGGGAAAATCTCGCTGCAGTGTCACTCGTTGGCACCCTCGTTTCATTTATTTTATTTTTTTTTTCAGCATGAATATTTTATTTAAACAGCTGAACCCCACAAGTCGACACAATATCCTGCATTTCCACTTTACCACCCACCCCAGCCCATTTCTCACCCAAGTGGGTATTCCCTAAAAACAGAGGCAGGTACCTGCCCGAGCACTATTGATTGGTAATTCTAAAATAATTCAGTATTCTCTTCTGTAAAACTCTGCTTTTTGCAGGTGTAACTGCTTAAAACAGAGAAAATTGTGCAAGTGGTATTATCTTAAGAGCAGCAAAAATCACAGGAAATTTACTTCCCACCCCTTGGGTGGATTGGAAATGCTCAGAGTGGAAATTTCACCCTGCCAAAATGATGTCACCTCCTCTGACCTGCAAAACTGGGTTTCCAACCACGTCTGGATGGGTGCGGGTGCTCTGGGAGAGGGGTGGCCCTGCCCAGCCCCAGAAATGCCAAATTAATCTCACATTAACAAAGATGAGGGAGATCCAGGGCTTTACCATTCCCAGCACAGGCAGCTTGCCACAGCAGGAGAAGGGAAACACAGAGCTCCACCTCGGCAGGGCTTTTGCTCCCTGCACAGAAGGCCCTGGATGAGAAAAGTCAGCTTGTGAAAGAGCAAAGGAGGGATCAAACCACGGGACACACCCGGGAAAGGGGAATTTGGATGTGCTTCCCCCCTCAGGTCTGCCTGCAGCCACCACCCAAAATAAGGATGAACCCTAAAAAGTCTCAGTGCTGCAGGTGCCAGGAACACCCAAATATTCCCTGGTGCCCAATCCCAGCTGCAGGGGGTGCAGCCAGAGCCTTCAGATGTTCTTTCCCACTCAGATTTTTTCCTGCTCTCACCACCAGGGATAGGATGACTGCACAGAAAGGGCAGACACAAACAGCAATCCACGAGTTCTCCTCCCTGCATCCGAGGGAGCACTGTTTGTGCCAGGGGCAGGTACAAGCCCCTCCATTCAGACACTAAAATCTGGGATTACATCCTCCCCCGATCAGTTCATCTGCATTTCAAGAGGCGATTCTGTTTCTTGAAAACAATATTGCATTTCCCCGGGCTGGAGTGGCCCTCTGGAGAGCTCTCACCCTCTGACAGCCTCGTTCCTCAGGATACTGAAGCCATTGTTTGTCCTGAAGAACGTTTGCCCGGTGCCTGGAAGAGGCAGAGACAAACAGCTCAGCTGTGTGACAGCCAGGCAGGCTCCTGCTCTTCCTGAGCAGTGCTAAAAGAAAAGGTCACTGCAGCAGCAGCTCTGGGGAAAAACATCCTTGGAAATGGAGGAAAATTCAGGAAGGAATGAAGCAGGAGTGCTTCTGAAGCTGAGAATTGCTCTGGTTCATGCCTGGTGCTGTTGGTTTCAAGTGAAAGATTATTCAGGAAGGCTGAAACACAAAATTGGCTTTGTAGCTCAATGGCCTTTAACAGAGAATTACAAATATTTATAAACAAATGAGACCCCAATCCCCAAGAACTCTCAGCATCAGTCTGATTCTAAAAAAATGCTGTAAACACGCACTGGCCACGCTGAAATACCCACCACTGCCACTTTTGTGGTTTAAATTGTTTTAAACACAGCAACAGTTACTGTGCTCCTTTAAAAACTGCTCCCCTGCCTTCCTCTGCCTGGGTTACACCTCCCAAAATTAACAAAATTAACAAAAGGAACGTTTTTCAGCACAGACTCACAGCTGTTGACAGCTGCTGCCAGCAGCCTGACGGCCCCTGTGTAGTAGGGGATGGGGTGGCCAGGGCTGCTGGTGCTCTGCAGCAATTCCTGGATGCTCTGCAGCAATTCCTGCACGGACACAGCAGCCTCACTCCCAGCCTGCAGCTCCCTCTCTGCCCTCTGCTCCTCCATCAGCCTCTTCTCCTCCAGCCTGGCCTCGTCCACGCACTCTGCCAGGTCACAGAAAACCAGCAGTGGAAAACCAGCAGGGAAATAAATTCTGCTCCCTCTTCGGAAAACAAGGGTGAAAGGATTTCTTTCTTACCTTTGAACAGGTTTTCCTTCTGGGGGTCAATCTGCAGCATCTTCTCGTAGCACTGCCTGGACTGCAGGGGGACAAAAAAGGGCTCTGGAAATAGGAATCAATGATGTCAATGATATCCCAGTCAGACCCCAAAGGTTTCTGGGGCCACAGTCCTGAATAAATGTGAAAAGTAACATTTATGGAGACACAGATGTCAAAACTCTCAGAAAAGTCAAATATTCTCAGTGCCTACACCTGCCTGCTGTTGCAAAGTCAAAGGGAATTTTCCAGTAAAACCCAAAGAGCAAAAAAAATCAGAGTTCCAGTGAGAAAACAGAAACTGAGGCATGGAAACTCTCTCCCTGTCACCCCCCAAAGCAGAACAAAGCACGGCCCCAAAGTTCAGCCAGCTCACCTCAGTGAAGTGCTGCAGGGCCAGGTGAGCCTTCCCCATCAGGAAATAGGCTTTAAGGCAGTTCTTATTGCACTGAGGTAAACCAGAAATTATTATCAGTTATGTCTTTAGAACGTTGCAGCCTTTCAGGATTTTTTTTCCCCCAGCATTCTGATTAATTATTAGAGTTGCCCGAAGCAAAGATTAGGGTGTTTATACCATTTATTAGTGGTGGATAAAGTTTTTATGCTGAATTATTGCCCCCAAGGACTGAAGAAAGGCTTGAGGTGAGGATGGAAAACAGGGTTTCCAAAAGGTGATTATTTCTCCTGTTCATTTTAGTCAAAAATACAGATTTCTGTAAATAATGCTGATTTCAGGGCTCTTTTCCACTTGGCAATTCTGGAATTACCTTTAATGCCCACTCACAGTCACTGATGGCTTTCTCATACTCATGGAGCTTCAGGTAGGCCTGAAATAAACCAAAAAATTGTCCAGGCAGAAGAATTAGAATCCTTTAAACAATTTCTGCTCGCTGTTGCACAAGCGCTGGCTAATTAAAAAGAATAAAATTAGGCTGCTGATTGGCCTGGCCATTGATTTTGCAGGGTAATTTCCATGCTTAACTTGTCTGCCATCTCCCTGGATTTTCTAATTTAGAATCAATCGAACAGAATCCTAGACATACAAAAACATGGAGCATGCAAGGCAAACAGAGACTGCAAAGCAAATATTTCACTGTGCAGTTACAGAAGTGATTCCTGGGAAAGCATTAATAATAATAATAATAATAAAAAAAACAGAGTATTTTAATAAAACTGGGAATTGGAAGGATTTTCCCCTCTTGCTCTGCAGGAGCAGGGGTGCTCCACATGCAAGGGGGTGCAAGAGAACAATGCCTTGGGCTTTCACCCTGGCACAGCCACACAAAAAGCAGCCAGAGGTGGCTCCTTCCCTGCACTCACCTGGGCCCTGTTTGTGTAGAGCTCCTGCTTGTCCCTCAGCTTCTGCAGCCCCTCTGAGTACCTCTGGATGGCCAGGGAAAAGTCTCCTGCCCTGAAGGCTTCGTTGCCCTGCTCCTTCAGGGCTGCAGAGCAGCAGAAAGCATTGGGAACAGCAGTAATGTCCATCAGTATTGAATGTATTTATTTAATTAATATTTAATTTATTTCATTCCAGTGGGGCTGAGCAGGCAGAGGCCACGCTCTCCTGCTGGAACAGCCCCAGGGTTCCAGCCCAGCCATTATTTCCATTATTTCCATTATTTCCATTATTTCCATTATTTCCCTGCAACCATTCCCCTTCCAGAGGGAAACCTGAGTGTTCCCCTCCCTCCCTGCATCCCAAACCAGCTCCAGCACCAGGAGATCATGCAGAGAACCAGGAGCAGCAGCTCTGAGGAGCCCCTGACCCTGTCCCAGGGCTGGGGACAGGGACAAGCCCAGCTGTGCCTCCCTCAGTCCCTGGCAGGTGATTTCTGGAGGCAGAGCCTGCAGAGCTCTCGGCAGTCACCGTTTGCCAGCTGCTCATTCCTCCTCCTTCGCTGGGCTCGTTCCTTGGCATCCTGTTCCAAAGCTGCCAGGAAGCCATCTTCCAGCCAGGAGAGTTGGTGGCATTTCAGGGAGGGGGGAAAAAAGAGCAAACTTCATTAAAACAGAGAAGAAACAATAATGCCTAGGGTGCTTCTGAGTCATCTCTTAATAAAAGCCAATACTAAGGGGCATTTCAGTAATTAAAGTGCAAGTGGCTGACAAGCTGTCACAGACAAGGATGTGACACCCCTGAGGATCTGCACACCTGCCTTGCTCCTCTCCAGGGGCAAACGAACAGGTTTGCTCTGAAATCCACAATAAAAAGTGTAAAAGGATGAGGAGCCAGAAGAGAACAAGGCTCCCACCTGTGAAAAACACAGCCATGCTGCTGAGACCTTGAGTGTGGTCCTAGACCTGACTGAATTTTGGTTACAGACACCAGGAAAAGTCAGCTTGGGCTTTGGCAGGGGTGGAATCAGCTCTTGATGAGCTCCATCCCTGCTCGGACTGCTTTTGGAGCTGTGACAGAGTGAGAGGAGCAGTGTCCTACCTGCATCTGCTGCCTGCACCCTCGGCGTGCCCTGGAAAAACAGAAACAGAGCACAAATGGTTTGGGAAAAGCCACAGGAGCACAGGGACACGGCACAAATGGTTTGGGAAAAGCCACAGGAGCACAGGGACACGGCACAAATGGTTTGGGAAAAGCACAGGGACACGGCACAAATGGTTTGGGAAAAGCACAGGGACACGACACAAATGGTTTGGGAAAAGCACAGGGACACGTGGCTGGGCTGCACAAAGCCACAGCGAGCATCAGGAATGTCTGGTGCATCCCAAATTCCCAGCCTGACACACAGCAGGAGCAGCAGTTTGACATTTAAACAAAGGATGGCAAGGATCTGATAAATTCTGGCGTTCCTGGAACGTTTCCATTTTTGTCTTTAAGGAGGGAAGACCTGGACTGAGCCCAGCTTTAATTTCAGGGGGAAAAGCCCTTACAGAGGTGTTGATGAGTGTTCTGTTCACCGTGGTCCTGCTCTCCTCCTCCTCCTCCTCCTCCTCCCTGCTGGCCCCTTGCTCTCGGAGCCTTTTCTCTGTCTCAGCAATGGCTTTTTCCTGCACAGCCGAGTCCGGGGACTTCAGGCCTTGCAGCAAATTGGCTAAAAGATCATAGAAAACACCCAAATAAAATATATATATACACACAGGACTTCAAAGGTGGAAGCAGCAGGAGATCGGTGGCACCTGCTTTGAAGGCAGCGCTGAGCAGGATGGCTTTTACCATAAAACCACAGAATCCCAGACTGGTTTGGGGTGGAACAGACCTCAAACCCCACCCAGTCCCATGGGCAGGGACCCCTCCCATGGACCAGGATGCTCCAGCGGGGCTTTGGGCACTTGGAATAAACAGAAACGCCCCCAGGGTGGATTTCCTGGCACTTTCAGGAGCCACCTGCAGTTTCTGCCGACACGAATGAAATTCCCAGAGGCGAGCGGCTCCCAGCATCCCGAATAAAAGCGAGAGCCCCTCAAAACCCCCGCAGAGCCGAGACCGCCGGGAAACACCGAACAAACCGAACCGGGGAGGGGCACAGCGGGGATCTCCCCCTTCCCACGCATGGTCCGCCTTCCTCCGCCCGGAGCCCCCCTTCCCCGCGGTGTCCCCTCGCTGTCCCCGCGCTGTCCCCGCGCTGTCCCCGCGCTGTCCCCTCGGTGTCCCGTCTGTGTTCCCTCTGTGTCCCCCCGGTGTCCCGTCTGTGTTCCGTCTGTGTCCCCTCGCTGTCCCCTCGCTGTCCCCGCGGTGTCCTCGCGGTGTCCCCGCGGTGTCCCCGGGCCCCTCCGGCACTCACTGACATCGTCCACGCGCCGCAGGAAGCGCTGGAAATCCGCCTCGGTGTCCTCGTCGCGCAGCATGGCCGGGGGACACCGGGGGGACAGAGAGGGGACACCGAGGGGACACAGACGGAACACCGAGGGGACACCGAGGGGACAGCGAGGGGACAGCGAGGGGACAGCGGGAGCCGCCGGGGCCGGGCTCGAACCGGCGGCGCCGTTGCCGGGGGAACGCGCCTGACGCGGCACGCGCGGGGTGGGCGTGGCGATGCAAACGAAGGGCGGGGCTATGCAAACAAGAAGCGCTGCCGCTATTCAAATTAAAGGGGCGGAGATATGTAAATGAGCAGGTAATTGGGCGGGAGAGCCGCAGGTCCCGGCCGCGGGGCCCCGGCTCGGAATCCCGGGATTGTCCCGGCTGGAACGGAGCTCCGGCAGCACCGAGCCCTCCCTGTGACCCGTGCCCGCCTTGTCCCCAGCCCAGAGCTCCGGGTGACACGTCCAGGCCCTCCCGGACCCCTCCCGGGATGGGCACCCCAGCCTCCCCGGCCGCCCTGCCGATGTTAAACCTTTCCATGGAGAAATTCCTGCTGATGCCCAGCCTGAAGCTCGTCCCCATTTTTATTCCTGACTGGGATTATTTTCCTGTTGCGATCTCCCTGAAAGGCTTTCCGGCTCCCTGCGATGGAAGCTGTCGGCCACCGCAGGGAGCTCGAGCACCGCGGAGCTGCGCTGGCCGGGATTGGCATTCCCGGTACATCCTCAACTCGGGATTGGCATTCCCGGTACATCCTCAGCCCGGGATTGGCATTCCCGACCCATCCTCAACCCGGGATTGGCATTCCCGGTACATCCTCAGCCCGGGATTGGCATTCCCGGTACATCCTCAACCCGGGATTGGCATTCCCGGTACATCCTCAGCCCGGGATTGGCATTCCCGGTACATCCTCAACTCGGGATTGGCATTCCGGTACATCCTCAACCCGGGATTGGCATTCCCGACCCATCCTCAACTCGGGATTGGCATTCCGCCCGGGATGGCACATTCTGCGCAGGGACAGGGACAGGGACAGGGACAGGGACTGGCTGCATCCATTGCCCCGCTTCCCCATCCATCCTCATCAGCTGGAATGGGATCCTGAGTGCCTGGGAGGTGCTGAGCTCTGCAGGCAGCCAGAATCCCCCATCCCTTCCACTCCTTGGCTGCAGGAACAGCCAGGATACCCCTTTTCCCTGTAGGAACAGCCAGGATATCCCTTTTCCTTGTAGAAACAGCCAGGATACCCCTTTTCCTTGTAGAAACAGCCAGGATACCCCTTTTCCTTGTAGGAACAGCCAGGATACCCCTTTTCCTTGTAGGAACAGCCAGGATACCCCTTTTCCCTGTAGGAACAGCCAGCATATCCCTTTTCCCTGTAGGAACAGCCAGGATACCCCTTTCCCCCCTCATGCCCCAAACAGTTCCCATCCCTCCCCTCACTGCCATCAGCTCTGCCTGCACCACCCTCCATCCCAAAGGGGATTTTTTCCCTTTAATGAAGCTGTTCCCAGCTCAATGTCCAATTACAAACACCCACGAGGCCATAGCTGGGGCGGTGGGATGCTCGGGAATTCTGGGTTTATTTGTCATTCCACAAAACCTGGGGAGTAAAGCCACACAGGGCAGCGAATGTGCAGAGGGGAGAGGCACCTTTAGTCTCTGAATACTTCAAAAAGCACTTAAAACGATGCTCTGAAGCTCATGCACGATATTCAGATACTGAAATCTGATAAAAGGCCAGATGATGATGATTTCTAGAAGGGATGAGAGAAAGAGGCAGCACAAAAATCTCCCTCCAGCCCCCCAAACCCCCTCAGACTTACCCCAAATTCAGCCCGGGGGAAAAGGAGCCACACTCAGCCAAGGTGACACTGCCAGTCGGGTGCCATGGCCTTAACAGAGGGAGAGACGAGGGAAAATTACAATTAAACGGAAATTAAAAGGTCTGAGGGTTGAGAAAACGGCCGAAGAAACACGAAGCTCTAACGAGGGATCTCTCAGTGGTTTTGCCACTGAGCACGGCCCCAGCTGCAGGGGCAGGAAAATCCCTTTTCACTTCTCTGGGAGAAGAGGGAGGAAGCCCCGAGCTGCTCCAAGGAGCAGCAGGAACCGGGCAGAGGCAGGGCACAGCTCCCACCCCGCTGGCACAACACACGGGGACGGGGGATTGAGAGGGATTGAGGGGTCTCTGAACCCAGAAAGGGCAACCCCAAATGTCCTCAGCGCCTCCCCTCGACCCCAGCCAGGGGCTTGGACCCGTTGCTGCTTCCCCACTTGGAAGATGTTGGTGTTTTTACATCAGATGTGACTTAAAGAGCTTTTTTTTTCAGCTGAATGGGAACTTCCATGTGAGAATCAACTGGTTTTTGCCCAAACTGGTGAAGGTAAAACAACCCTCCCCTCCCTTCCCCATAATCCCCAGAGTAAAAAAAAATTAAAGTTGGGCATTTGGGCAATTTTTAGCTAGGATTAAGAAAAAAAAAATCAAGACTTTAAAATGAATTAATTGAATAAATTAATTACATTTAAACTTCATGAAATTCAGGCTGGGCAGAGGTCACCTCTTACACCCAACACTCACCCTGTCCACAGCCAGGCACCAGAAAAGTGCCTTTTTGCGGGGGAAAAATCTTCCCAGTAGCTGTGAAACTGCATTTCTGTGTTTGCTATCTCCAGGAAAGAAGTAAATAAATGTAGAGGGACAAAGAAATAAACTTTCAAGTGGGACAAGGCAACCAGAGCAGCTAAAGAAGGGCAGACTGCAGGCATCAGCTTTTTTTTTTTTTTTTTTTTTTTTTTTTTTTATCACCCCTACCCTCCCCTTTTTTTTTCC